AGTTTCTATTATTTAATTGACCTTCTCCTTAAATTTCAACTCATTTTTTTAAAAAAAATGTGAACTCTAGGTCAGGCACGGTGGCTTACGCCTGTAATCCTAGCAGTTTGGGAGTCCAAGGCAGGCAGATTGCCTAAGCTCAGGAATTCGAGATCAGGCTGAACAACATGGTGAAATCCCATCTCTACTAAAATACAAAAAAATAGCTGGGCGTGGCGGCATGTGCCTGTAGTCCCAGATACTTGGTAGGCTGAAGCTGGAGAATTGCTTGAACCCGGGAGTCAGAGGTTGCAGTGAGCCGAGATTGTGCACTCCAGCCTGGGTGACAGAGCAAGACTCTGTCTCCAAATAAACTAACCAAAAAATATGAACTCTAAAAAGTTTATACAGAATAAGTACACATCACTTATTTTTAATAATCATAAATGTTTTTGCTAAAACTACTATTTTGAGTTTACCCAAAAAACTCAATAATATAATAATAATTATTTTCAATGAATTGCTGGTTTAAGTGAAACATAACTATACACACAGGAAAAGGACAGGCACAGGTCTATACTCTCAATAAGTGCTGAAGGAAAGGGAAGCCTTGGGAATGTTTAGTCAGAAACCTCTGCTGGGTGATGTAGTGTTTAAGCTTTCCCTTGAAGAGAGTGGCTCAGCTGGAGAGATGGAATGGAGGGGGTTAGGAGAGGGCCTTTCAGGCAGAAATGGAACAACCAGATCTAGACTCACAAGGGAAATAAGAAAAGCATGAATAAGAAATAAGGAAAGCATGAATAACAGAAAGTGAAGGAATGAGAATGAGTGGCACTGATGTATGTCCTACTCTGAAAGTTAAGAAATCACGGATTTCCAATAGCCAATCTCTACCTTTCCGGAAGACCAAGAAACACATTTGGAAGGAATACAAAGCATATGGGCGTGAGGTTTAGGAATGAGAAGGCATCACATTTTAGGATCAGTGATGGTTAAATGTTCATCCTTGCCATAGGATCAACCTGGATTTAAAGTTTAGGTCTTCTTCCTGCTGACTGTGTGACCTCTCTCTGGAAAGGTTGTGTGTTTCCTCACTAGAAAAGTTATGCCTACCTCATTAAATAACATGTTTGTAAAATACTCAGAGTAATGGCTGGCACAAAGTAAACACTCAGTAAATGGTAGCTCTTACTATTATTATTTTTATGGAAGCTCTGAAGTGGTTGAAGATGGGTTTACCCCCCTCATTTCCACAGCAATTCATTAAGTAAATGTTTTCCAACTTGGGAACTTTTGTCTTCGTTATTATTATTTTTGTTATCATTATCTTTTGAGACAGGGTCTTGCTCTGTCACCCAGGCTGGAGTGCAGTGGCGCAACCACAGTTCACTGCAACCTTGACCTCCCAGGCTCAAGCGATCCTCCTGCCTTAGCCTCCCGAGTAGCTGAGACTACAGGCACTTGCCATCATACCTGGCTAATTTTCATGTTTTTTGTAGAGACAGGGTTTCGGGTTTCTCCGTGTTGCTCAGGGTAGTTCAAACTGCTGGGCTCAAGTGATCCTACTGCCTCAGCCTCCCAAAGTGCTGTGATTACAGGCTTACAGGAGTGAGCCACCGTGCCTGACTTCTTTGTTATTATTAATTAGCATTCATATAACTTAATATTCCAAATATTCTGACAAAAATTTGTTTGCAACTTTAATACCACTCCTGACAGAAGGTAGGTGCTACAACAAAAGAGGAGTAAGGAGAACATAATTAAAAGAGCATATTGAGATAAGTAATTTGTGACCCAAATAATGGATCTGAACACTGCACCAACCAAGACTGTGTGCTGACGATCTGTCCATTCTTCTAACCCAACTGGTTACCACTAAATCCCCTCACCTGTTCTGCATGGACTGTCCCCTCAGCAGAAGTGCCTGGAATTACTTTGTTTCTACATAAAAATTTTATAGTGTTCAACTAGTATCCTGAAATCTTTGCAAGGAGTTACATGCTGTTTGAAAGATTCATAAGGAAATTGACTACTTGAATTTAGAAGTGCATTTTCCCATAAAAGCTTGATTTAAACAATTTACTTCTGAGGTGAGTCCACCAACTGAATGCATAATGCAACTGAAAAATTAAATATTTTAAACTAGAAAGGCAGTTTAAAAAAAATGGATATAATATTGGCTATTTACAGAATAGGAAAATAGTGTTTGTCAATGAAACAGTAGCCCCAGGTTCAGACCTCTGCTCGGCTACTCCCTGGTTGTGTGAATCTGATCAGATCATTTTACCTCTCCATCCCACAATTTCTTCATCTGTAAAGAAAAGCGTAGGAAGACTTTTTAAAAGTCTTTCTTATTCCTATACCCACTAAAAGGAACTGAAAGAAGCTAATTATAGAAGGAAATTGTATACAGTGAAACTAAGAAAGGCCCTAACCTCATGCTACTAACTCATCAACCTCATTCACAAAGATGATCATCCACAAAGAACATCACGTGAAGTGACCTAAAAGAGAAGCAGCGTTCTGATGCAGGACTCTCTCGCTTCTGGACACAATGCAAACTAGAGATGAGACTGAAGCACTTCTAATCTATCCAGTTTAGAGAATGAAAGCTTCAAAGAAAGGGTGGGCATCAGGAAAGACAGCAAACCTTCTACTTTGAAACATTCCCCTGCTTAAATATCTCCAAGAGGCAACGTATCCAGAAGTCCTATTTAGGTTGGATTTGAGGATAGATATTGGTCAGAAGGGGGGGCCTTAAAGCTGATTTTGCAGAGTACTTTACATCAGACTGAGCGAATGTCAAAGGTCAATATCAAAGAACTGGGGAGAGGGCACTAATAAAATTATGGAGCCAACAGTCCCCAGGTACCCCCTGGCTCCGCCATAGATAGGAATAATGGGACAGGAGGAGGAAGCCTTCAACAAAGGAGAAACTGTTTTCTTCTGTTTAGAAACCACTTGGAGGGTAGTCATTGGGAAAACTCTGAAAGGTCACTGAAGCCCCAAGCTCAAAATCAGCTGACAGCTGTGTAGCTCTGTGTCTCAGTGTCCCTAGTGTGATGAGATGAGGGGAACTTGAGGCCACAGAAATCCAGCAGCTTACCCATCTCATAGTGGGGAGGAGTGAGACCTACCAGAGGGAATAGAAATGTGTCATGCCCAATTGCTGAGGGAGCCCACGTTGGCTACAAACACAGGCCTTTCTTTACCATAAGAGCAGGGCAGAATTCCCAGTAGACTAGAGAAAAATGAAGAATCAGGAAAGAGGTCAAGCCAGGCAATCAGCAAATGGCTTCCTGTGAAATCGATTTGGGTCATCAAACAGCAGAGAACTGTAAACAAAAAGTTGAACTTGAACTCTAAATGATCTCTAAATCTCATTCCAACTCTAATATCTCAAGGATTGGCGCATAATAAATCTTTATCACAAATTTTGATACTTAGAGAAACATACACTTAAGTGGAAAAGAATGAAGGTGGTAAGCGAGGATTTCATGGTGATTCTGAGGGGGGCTTTGAGTACTTGCAAATACTTTGAATTCAAGGGTTTTGCTATCATTGATTATACCTGCAATTTGAGGGCTCTCCTAGCAGGATGCAGAGCTGTCCAAGGAAGAGCAAACTCACTCTCTGTGGCCTACAAAAACATCGTTGAAGGCTGCAGGCCCACCTGGAGGGTATCTTGAGCTCTGAGCAGAAAACCAACACCTCTGACAAGAAGTTGCAGCTGATCAACAACTATTGGGAGTGAGCTTCACATCACTGAGAAAAAACAAAAAACAAACCAAAACAAAAGAGAAAACTTACCAGGAGAAAGTCAAGTCTGAACTGAGATCCATATTCATTACTGTCCTGCAATTTTTGGATAACTATTTACTATCCAATGCAACTAATCTAGAGAGTACGACCTTTTATCAAAAATGAAGGGAGATTATTTCCAGTACATTTGTTGCATGTGGTGATGGTTGAAACAAATGATAGATAATTCCCAAGGAGCTTCCTAAGAGGCATTTGATATAGTAAAGAGATGTAATCCATATACCCAACCTACCTGGGGCTGGCTCTTAATTTTTCTGTACTTTACTATGAGATCATTAATAACCCAGAGCTTGCCTGCATACCGACTAAAACCACTTTTGATGAGGCCATAGAAGAACTTGATACACTGAGTGAAGATTCAAAGACAGCACCCTTATCATGCAGTTGCTTATAGAGACAACCTAACATTACGGCCATCAGACAGTGCAAGAGAAGAATGTGATGTGGTAGAAGAGACAGAAAAGTAAATGCATACAAGGTGTAATCTTTCTTCTCTTCAAGAAACTTTCGTACACATCTCCATTGCCTTTTCCACTTGGATTTCCTGTGGCAAAGAAACCCATTCATGATGGCTGGGTGCGGTGGCTCACGCCTGTAATCGCAGCACTTTGGGAGGCCAAGGCAGGTGGATCACGAGGTCAGAAGATAGAGACCAGCCTAGCCAACATGGTGAAACCCCGCCTCCTCTAAAACTACAAAAATTAGCTGGGTGCGGTGGCAGACACTTGTAATCCCAGCTGCTCGGTAGGCTGAGGCAGGAGAATGGCTCAAACCCGGGCAGCAGAGGTTACAGTGAGCTGAGATCGCGCCACTGCACTCCAGCCTGGGCGACAGAGTGAGACTCCGTCTCAAAAAAAAAAAAAAAAGAAAGAAAGAAAGAAATTCATGTGTATGGGATCAACTGTTCATAGTTTTTCACAATGCAGCTTTGAGAAAACTCCATTCCTTTCGTTTGTCCTGGCCCTCCTGGTGTACAATTACTGCTATAGAAAAGTATTAATGGCTTTATTTCATATAAAATATTAGTAACTTCCACTTATAGACTAAAAATGTACTTGATATTTAAGTAATCTGAACAAATTCTGTAAGCAATTATGTTTTGTACTACTGTAAATATCTGAAAATATAGTTAATTACAATTCGAGAGTATTCTATGTAACTTTTTGATTTCTTTATTCCCTCCCTTACTCTTCTTCAAGGATTTCCTTTCAGTATGGAATGTCTCTGGCCTGGAGGGGAATTGGAATGTCTCCTATATAACAGTTTACGGAGGTCATGTGTATCCATAACAACAAGGATGCTGCTGTTTAAGTTGACAGCTTTCCTTCCCAATAAACATTCATGTACACCTTTTGTCTTTTACTTCCGGTATTCACCTTACCATGTAATAGAAGTATCATGTTGCTGCGAGGATACATGCATTGCTTTAGGTAAATTAAAATGCATATCAGTACTTAATACCCTAGAAAGCAGAAATACATTACACAAGTCCAATTCTGAAACTTTAGTATTTTTCTGTGCAGATTTGTGCACATGTGAGAGGGTATCCGTTTCATCTAGTGATTGCTATTCAGAGTTGGACCAGCGTTTTGTGTTGCTAATGCACCGTGGTCCCAAAAAAGCCTTGCAAAAATGTTATGCCCTGTGTAACAGCAGAGTAGCATAAAATACACTTACACTTTATAAGCCATTTACTGTTGCTTTGTAACAATTGCCTACTCGTATTTTAAGGAATAGGTGAGTTCACTACTTTCTGAAGTTTATCATAGTTCTCTTGTATCTTATGCAAAGTGTAGTAATGATACCCATAGTTCTGCATTGTGATACGCTTGTCTAGAGAAACCCAGAGATGTAAAAAATTGTACTACATTTCTCAGTGTTTTAACATAGATCAGCATCACAGGCTATCTATTCTTAAGATATAAATTATACATGTTAAGTGTTATATGGAATAAAGTGGACATTTTAAAGCTAGAAATAAAATGGAGGGTATGACAGAATCCTACTTGAAGAAGTAAGATTATAGGGACGGTACTAGGTCCGACAGTTCCCCATTCTGGTCAGCAGGTGGCACTAGAGTAGCTTGGATGCCAAATGGAACAAAGGGCAAAAATAGATCTGGCTCAAAACCTTTGGGTGAAAGTGCGGGAGAGGCAGGTGACTGGTTGTTTACATGTCGATATGTCTTATCTCTCTTTCTAAATTGTTCATTGTTTGAAGTGAGGCACACTTCTAGGTACAACAAAAAATTGTACTGAACTTTTCTGTGCCTTGGACTCTTACCTGATAATGGATACAATAATAATGCCTACCTCATAGCATTGTTGGGAGCTATTGTGAGAATAATGAATTAATGCATGTCAGTGCGACAGTGCAGATTGCAGAGTAAGTGTTCAGTAAATGTCAATTATTATGACTCTGCACAATGACCATGAGGCACACATAGTAGAAATTCAAAAGATATTAGTGGATGCAGCGAATTGCATGGGATGTTCAGAAGCCTGATGCTTATAACTCAGAGACCACCTAGTATTAAAATATCTGTAAAACAGATTGGTATGGGAATAACTGGGAATAATTACTTACATGGTAATGTGACTGTTTTAAATGTTTGTAACCTCGAGAGTTCACTGAGAGTTCACTGAAATGCTATCTCTCTGAGTATCATTTAGTTCACTGAGTCTTTTCAGAGATGTATTGTGAGGGAAATCTAAAACAGTAATAAATACTGCAAAGCTAGGCAAACCTATTCCGGTGTGTTCCTTCAGCAAGAAGTGTCCGTCTCAAACATGTTCAGCTCAGCCCAGACACAGGAAACGAAGAAAGACCTTCCGCTTTATGAATTCAGTTCCATCGTTACCTAGAAAGCCACTCAAGATATGCAAAATGTTAGAAGAAAGAGGCTCGAACTGGTCGTGCTGTTCCAAGCTTAATATTCAGTGGACCAGAGGGGAACTCTGGAGTACTTGCTCAACCATCAAGCTGCACTTTCCCTTCCAGACTTCTGACTCTGCAAGTTCAGATCTTAGAGTAAGGCTTCTATCCAGCTTCCAGGTTTTCATGCTACTTTTTCCTGAGAGTATAGCTCTGCACTCACCCCCAGATAGGCCCTTGACAACCTGCCTATCCATTTCTCATCCTCTTATCCTGTCACCTGAACTATGCTATATGCTGAATGAGATCCTGCTTCAAACCTCATGGATCCTTCTGGAAAGATTATCACTGCTTCTCTGACTATAAGTACTACTGTCACAGCCTAGATTCACCTGGTATTCTCCTTGCCACTTTATTTACTTTTTTTTTTTTTTTTCATTTTTTTGAGATAGGGTCTTGCTCTGTTGCCCAGGCTGGAGGGCAGTGGCATGATGATAGCTCACTTCAACCTTTGATTCCTGGGCTTAAGCAATCCTCCCACCTCAGCCTTCCAAGTAGTTAGGACTACAGGCAGGCACCACCATGTCTGGCTAATTTTTAATTTTTTTCTAGAAAGGGGGTCTTGCTATGTTGTCCAGGCTGGTCTCAAACTCTTAGCCTCAAGTGATTATCCTGCCTCAGCCTCCCAAAGTGCTGGGATTAAAGATGTGAGCCACCCTGTACACCCAGCTTCCACTCCACTTTAGAGCCTACTGTTGGGACTACTGACCATCCCTAGCAGAGGCAAGCCCAGCTGCTATCTTTTATTATCCTTCCCTTCCCTTGCCTGTGCCCATATTTACCTTCTTTTTTTTTTTTTTTTTTTTTTTTCTGTTTCCCTACTGGCTCAGAAAACCTCATTCATAGCTGATAGGAAGGTAAGATTGGAAGGGAATAAGAAAAAGACAAATATTACATGGAGGAGGAATGATAAGAATACTTTGAGCTCCAGAGGTATAAATACTATGCATAGGGAATAGAAAATAAACAAAATGATTCTGAAATTTTAACGTAAGGGAGGAAATATAATTTCATATTGAGGCAGTATGAAAATAAAGTTGGATTTAACTCTGATTCCTGCCTCTTCCACCTACAGGTGATAGGACATTGTGCGAGGTTAAGTCCTCTGAGTCTATTTCCTCACTTATACAATGAGGTTATAAAATGGCTCATTTTGCAGGGTTGTTGTGAAGACTCAATATGATGATGCATATGAAAATGTTCCATTTATGCCTGGCAACTGTCCTGCCCATGTCTCAGGTTAGAGGTTGAAAGGTGAAACTATTGGCTGAATTTGGTTCAAAGATATGTTTTGCTTTTCCTTGAGTTAGGGTCCCCAAGACCAGCCCCAGGTTTGATGATTCACTAGGAGGACTTATAGGACTCACATATAGTAATACTCATGATTATGATTGGCAAAAGGATATAAAGCAAAATCAGCAAGGAAAAAGGCACATGATCAAAATACAGGATATACCAGCCACAGACTTTCAAGGTTCAGCTCCCATAGAGTTTACACAGGATGTGCTCAACTGCCCCTGTAATGAGTTGCGATAAAACATGTGAAATGATGCCAACCAGGAAATTCCTTAGAGACTCAGTGCTCAGGGCTTTTACTGGGGCCCAGTAAAAGGCAGGCAGCCTCTGCTAGGCACATACTCAGATTTCAGAGTCCTAGAAGGAAAGCAGGTAGTCAGCATAAACATGTTGTCTACACAAAAGTTTAGGCACAAAGAGTCGCTCTTACCAGTTCTGGGAATGGTGGGAACCCTCCTGAAATCCACATTCCCAGATACCTGCCCAGGGCTGGCTGTGTAAGCAGGCCTTTCCAAGGATAAGCAGTTAGGGCTGCTACCTCAACTTTTTGTTGCACAGACCTGCACAGGGTTTGTCTATGCAGATTTCTTGGTTTTGTTTTGTTTTGTTTTGTTTATATTTTACTTAGTTGCCTTTTTTAAAAATATTAAGATATTTCACTCAGGATTTCCATCTTCATGTGAAAAATCAAGTATTGTTAAAAAATAGATTCATATTCCCACATGGCAACAATTGATAGACCCTTTTAGATAAGGCTTCATGTTCCCTCAAATTCCTCCTAGTCACTGCCGCTCCCAATAGTCTTTCCCACACTGAGCACCAACTGCCATTTACATCCTGCTTTTGTGAATCTGGCCTTGGCCGCTTGAACCAGGAATGGCCAACTGATCAGAGGACAAGAGAAAGAAGCAGGCATGTGGAATACTACTGAGTCGTGATAATGAACAATGATGCAAACAGGTCACAGTTAATGAATTCCTGCTGTTGAGGTCGCCAAAAATGCCATGAAATCAGAACTCCTCTTTGGCACCCTCTGTTACAGCTGTTCCTTGTGGGTATTTTTGGGTTGCTATGACAACACTTTCATTGCTACATATAATAAGTCCTCTTTATTTAAGCTAACTCCATTCAGTCTTTGCTCCTGCCCACCTAAAGATCACTGATCAGAAACGTGTTAACATAAATTATTACATATATTGCCCACTAGAGCTTTGTAACTTGAAGTCATTGTTATTATCATCCCCACCAAGACTTGTCATCACAGACTAAAATATATCAACAGAAAGGTAAATCTTGTTCAAAGGAAATAGATCCAATGAATATTCAAGTAGTTGTATGTATCAATATGCCCTTTTATTTACTAACTCAACTACTGTGTGATAAAATGAAATTTCATCGTTACATTCCTTGCATCTAGAAAAGTACCAGCTATGGAGTTGGATTCAATAAATATTTCCTAACTTTATAGAGTTTCATTTATAACAAGGTCTAGAAACGCAAGGATAGAAATAATGAAAATCATTATGCTCATGCTAAAAAGGAGAAAATGCAAGTGATATAATTGCAGGAGTGTGCTGCATGCCACCCAACCATACAAATGTTCTAGATGCTTCTTTTCTCATTCCAGTTACAAAACCGACACAGATACAAGTTCCAGAGAAGGAACTACAATGATTCCAATGTCTGTTGATACGTTCATTCTACTAAAACAAAGAATTTGAAAAGTTCTTTACTTGCTTCCTTGATAGTTTCATTTCTCAGACGACTGAGGAAGCAATTAGGGGATTTTATATTCTAGACTTGACTTTTACTAACAAGAAAAACTGATTAGTAAAGTAACTAGAAACTACAAGAACACCAAGAAAAAGAGGCAGTGTCATACAGATTGCGTATCCCTTATCCATTGAGGTACTAATACAAGAATTAGGCGTGCTGGGGATTCATTCATTCATTCAACAAATGTTTACTGATGCTTACTATATGCATGCCTATTTTAGGTTCCAGGTATATAACAGTGAATAATATAGACAAAAATCCATGCTCTGTTGGACCTTGCATTTTAGTTGGGGGAGGGGAATAATAAACAGCTATATTAATAAAATACGTAATAGTTCAGATGGTGATATGAACTATGAAGGAAAATGTCAAGGAAGAGGAATAGAAATTGCTAGGGTAGAGGGATGCTGTAATTTTATTTAAGGTTATTGGAGAAGGCCTTGAAAAAGGGACATTTGAGTCACAGTAGATGGGGGAATGAGCTACTTAGGCATGTAGGAAAAGAGAGAGAGAGAACAGAAGGTATATATGGGTTTGTGCCCTACTAAGTGAGCCAAGGGAGAGTAGCAGATCAGATTAAAGATTGCAAAATGTCTTGTAGGCTACTGACTTTGGTTTTACTCTGGAATGAGAAGCCAGCAGAGAGTTTGAACAGGGTAGTGACATAATCTAGCTGACATTTAAAAATGCAGGCGAAAGGGAGGAAGCAGGAGAGTAGTGAAATAATCCAGATTAGAGATGTTGCTAGTGTAGACCAAAGTGATAACAGCTGACTTGGTAAAAATAGATTCTCAACATATTTTGAAGGCAGGGCTACCATGATTGAATAAGGGGAGAGGAAAAGTGACAGAAAGAAGTGAGGATGACCCTAAGGTTTTGGCAAGCGTGACTAGAAGGATGGAGATGTGATTAACCGAAATGGAGGAAAACTGTGAAAGGAAGAGTTTTGTAAGAGAAGAGGAGCTCAATTTTTAGACATGTTAAATTTGAGATTCCTTTTACACCTCAAAGTGGAAATGTTGGTAGGCAGTTAAATATATAAGCCTGAAATTTAGGCAAGAGTTCTTGGCTGGAGAGTTATCAGTATATAATTAATATTGAAAACCATGAGATTGGATGAGCTCACTGAAGGAGAGAAAGTATTGGCCAGGTACAGTGGCTCATGCCTGTAGTCCCAGCACTTTGGGAGGCTGAGGCAGGAGCATTGCTTGAGCCTAGAAGTTTGAGACCAGCCTGGGCAACACAGTAAGAGCCTGCATAGCAAAACCCTGTCCCTACAATTTTTTTTAATTAGCTGAAGATGGTGGCACACGCCTGTAGTCCTAGCTACTCAGGAGGTTAAGGTGGGAGGATCACTTGAGCCCAAGAGTTAGAGGCTGCAGTGAGCTATGATCACACCACGACACTCCAGTCTGAGCAATGGAGTAAGATTCTGTCTCTAAAAAAAGAAAGGAAGGAAGGAAGGAAGGAAAAGAAAAAGAAAGAAAAGAAAGAAAGAAAGAAAGAAAGAAAGAAAGAAAGAAAGAAAAGAAAGAAAGAAAGAAAGAAAGAAAGAAAGGAAGGAAGGAAGGAAGGAAGGAAGGAAGGAAGGAAGGAAGGAAGGAGAAAGAAAGAAAGGAAAGAAAGGCATTGAAGATAAGATATAAGAGTTTCAAGAATGAGGTGTTTCAGTGTTTAGATGTGAGGGTGATGATAAGGAATGAGCAAAGGAGGCTGGAGGCTGAGAGAGAGGTAACTCC